AAATGCTTGCTGAAATTGTTCCCAAGAAAAAAAATAGGTTGCAGGCATTTGCTTCCCAATTTGTACAANGCTTTCCAACCAAAGGAAGTGTTAAATATTCCCTTCATTAGGGAGCAAGTAGTTGTTGTTGGAAAGCTTATTGTTAATTTTCCTTTTGATATCGATAGCAATTTCATAGATACTATATTTGATAAAGGTATAGAGGTTTATAATTTGATTTATAACTATATCGAGAAAACTGAACATACCATTAATAGCACAGCAGCATTTATCAATTTATTATTTTCATTGTTGCTTGTAAATTTGAAAGAGTGTAGCAACAGAAAATACTTAGAGAGTTGTGAACAATCTCTAAACCAATTGAAAGAAATGAAAATTAATATGAGAAACACCTTTACGATAATTTTAGCAAACCAACAAACTGACAAAAGATGGGCCGAAACACATGCCAATGGGTTTATTTCAAAAGTGAAATCACATATTAACACATCGATTGTAACAAAAATTACTGATGATATAGAATGCAAGCTTAAGACAACATATATGGATCCCGAAACAACATCTAAGATAGCCTTTAAAATGAGCTTTGAAGAGAAGAATTGGGCTTACGTTCTTCGATTTGCTTTGAATACAAATGCTTTGCTAACAGAAATATTCGAAGACGACTTTAAAGAGAAAGTTATACATGCACTGAAATATCACAAAAAAGGATTCGAAGAACAAAAAGAAGTTTTACAGAACAGAATTGTAGACTCTATTCAGGAATGGAAAGGTCTATTTGTTAACTTTTCGGTGTTACACAGCAAGAAACTGTTCCCCATCTCATCTACCAACACTTTATAAGCTATATGAGTGGAGAAAAGGAAAGATTTGAAAAAATTCATACTCAACTTTCAAATGAATTGAACATCACCCTAAACAAGCCATTTAATCCACATTTCGATATTCAATCATTATTTCCAAAAGAAATAATCCATGATCAAATCAAAATATGTGATCCAAAAGTATTTTCTGAACAGTTAATTGAGTATATCATTGTACAATATAGAAAAGACATAACTGATATGACTTTGGAAAGTTTTAGTGAAAAAGCTTTGAATGATCTGAAAACACATCTTCGTCAATTCTCTATTGGCTGCCCAGAGTTATGTCCACTTTGTAATTCAAAATGTACTTCTAGTGATCCAAATCACGAGAAGCACGAATGTTCTTGCCATATTTTCCCTGCTTTTCACGGGTTTAGGGCTGTAGCAAACAAATCACCCTCATTATTTTGTTGTACCAGTGATATATGTAGCCAAAAACGATTTGAAACGAAACTCCAAACCGAATACTTGCGTAGGGATAAGTTTTTAGCGACCTATTATCCTTCATGGTCGGGTTTGAAGAATGAAACAATTGACCCTCTTTACGAAACTAAGCTTAAAAGAGCTTGGGTAAAGTGTAGAAAATACTTTTGTGATCGGTTTAATATGAATGATGATCTTGAAGAGACTCATCCTGATTGGATTGAGGCACATGGGGACCCTGAACCCAATTTGAAAGAATTGTACGAAGAGTATTTACAAAAGACTAATCCAGAGGAGTTAGTTAAAGAGAAGAGAGATAAACGAAAGAAAATGGCTAAATCTTTGAAGATTGAATTAAGTGAAGAAATAGATAGAAATTTGGTTAATATGGCTAATGTGAAAGATCAATTAATTAACTCAATTGTCAACCCTGTTGTTTATGACTTGACTAAGTATGGAGAAGTAACAAAAGAAACAAGAGACAATTTTTTGGCTATGGCCTTCAGAGGACCACCAGGACTGCCAAAACAACGGTTGCTAG